GACTTTTCTGGCTACAGGTTTTTGTCTTGGCTTACTAACAGACATGGGTCCTATCCTGTGGAGGAGGCCTAAGATCCAACGGGAGAGTGATTGATTGCACCAAACTAGTTCTGTCACTGCAGAACCAGCGGGCATGTCCTGCAGGGCATGCTGATAGCATAACAACTGGGGCCTCCTGTAGCCGAGGAGGACCATTGGCAACAATCATCTATTCCTTACACTGCCCCCAGCCTGCATAGTACCATCTGGTACTACAAATGCTACCCAGTAGGGAAGAAGCTTCCAATTCAGTCACAGCTTGATTCTCTGTGTCTCACAACCAGAGCCCGTGTTGTTTTCAGTATGGGGGACTTACTGTCTAATTCTGGCATGCAATGAACTACAGTGGCAATAGCTTGCATGGTGTGAGTGTCTGAGGCCTCCCTAGCCAACTCATAGTGAGGTAGCCCACCCCTGGCCCTGGGAGTTTTCTGGAAGCACTCATTTAAATACAGGGTAACTTCATTTAAACTCTTTAGCAGGTTTAATGGATTTTTTCAAAACTTTTTTTTTTTTTAAACCAGTCCCTGTGGGGTGATAAGGCAGGTAAAAAATACCATTGTACTTGGCCATCCTCAGCCTAAGCCTGTATGTCAGTGTTTGTGAAATGGGTACCTCTGTCATTGTCAGTCCTCTGTGGACACCCATTACACAATCATACTGAGCTGAGTAAGGCCTCAGTGTTACAAGGGAACATGTGAGGAGACCCAAGGCAGTTTCTACACAAGTGAAGGCAAATTTTCATGGGTCCCATGTAATCTATCTACCAATCTCTTACTGGGCATGTTGACTTATACACCTGTCCAGGTAGTACATCCATCTTTCAAGGCTATAGCCAGAACAAACCTCTGTACAGCAGAAAAAATGCCAGAATATTTTAAGGGAATGGCTGCAGCCTTTGCTGTTTTCCAGCCAGGTTGGTTCCTCTGTGCCCTGATTCTACATGTACCCAATGGGCAGCTTCCTCAGGTACCTGCGGGCAAATGCCTTACATCTTTGTGAGGGTATCAGCCTTCTGGTGATGAGGGTGGGGTTAGTGGGCTATGGGTGGCCACATGGAAGATTCTTAGTGGCTCTGATTTTGTGTTCTCTCATAAATTCCCCTCCACAATTATTGTCCCCATAATGGCCTTGCCAGTGCTTCCTTTCTCATTGTGCCATCCATAGGCCCAACCCTCTAGAGACAGCTCAACTATTTGTATAGATAGTGGCCATTTTTATGAGTCCCAAGTATCTATACAGTTCTTAGTTAGCCCATTGACTACTCTTCCCCTCCTCTCTCCAGCCACATAATGTCTGCATTCATTTGTATTGCTATCACCACCCCTTTCTGTTTTGATACAAAACATTCCTGTTTTGCTAGTGTCATTAGTGTACCAAGCATCTTCAGGGATGGGCAGTATCCCTCCTAGCATCTTATCTGGCTTGGATGTTGGTTCAATCACTGAGAGTGGTTCAGTAGTTTAGGAAGATATTGGTCCCAATATGGCCTGTACAGCTTTTGTCACAGAGCTAGTAGATGACTCCATGTTGCTGTAAGTACACATGCTACTTCTATGGAGTCTGACTTAAAGCCCTTAACCCAGCCCTTTATTGGATATGCCGTTTTTACTGTCAGAATAGGCCCAGTGATAGATTCCATCTGCTACAGGGTCTTAATACAGCTAGTAGTTGTTGCTCCAGTGCTGGATATCAGGCTTCAGTTCCTTTCCATGACTCGAACCAGAACCTTATAGGAACTGTCCATTCAGGTTGTTTCTGCCATAGCCCCCAGCTATAGCCCTCAGAGCTCCTAGTAACCTCTAAGGCAAATAGACATTGGGACACTGGGGCACATACTTTTTTTAGCCTGCCCCAGAAGGATGTGCTCATGGTTCAAGGCCTCTTGAGCCCTTCTGTCCCGATCTCCCATGTGGTGCTCTTTTTTTTTCTTTTTTAAGCAGATTATATAAGGGAGTTACTCTGGTTAGAATTTGGAGAACTAGTCTCCCTACAGTGGAACAGGATAGGCATTCCAAAAAAGAGGTATTCAGAGGGAACTAGTCTGTGACAGGGTGAAAAATCAGGCCATATAGTTGTTATCCTGAACTTAGGAGGACAAAATGGTCTAAAGAAGGTGGAAATTACTGGGCACCAGTGGCTCACTCCTATAACCCTAGCTACTCAGGAGGCAGAAACCAGGAGGATCGTGGTTCAAAGCCAGCCTGGGGCAAATAGTCTGGGAGCCCTTTCTCAAAAAAATCCCATCACAAAAAATGGTGGGGGCGGGGTGCTTATAGAGTGGCTCAAGGTGTAGGCCCTGAGTTCAAGCCCCAGTACCACAAAAAAAAAAGAAGGTGGAAACCTTCTTTCTCACTATGGTGTTGAGAGGTGGGACCTGTAGGCAGTGATTAGATTAGATAAGTAGTTGGGGTGGAGCCCCACACTAGTGGCTTTATAAGGAGAAGGAGATCACACAGACAGAGATACAGATGCATTCCTATCATGATGCAAAGTTAGGTGGACCTCACCAGAACCTTGTGCTTTCAGCCTTTAGACTTTCAGCCTCTAAAAATGTGAGTGAAGTGCACCATTTTTGTCTATAAAGCTTCCTGCCTCAGGTATTTTATTATAGTAACAAAAAGATGGCTAATACAACATCCATCTCCAAAAATACACTTGATCCATACCTCACTTTAATTCAAATGGATTGGAGACTTATGTGTGAAACCTAAAAGTATAAAACTTAAAAAAAATATTGAGAAAATCTGTTACTTTGTGTTATGCAAAGATTTCTTGGAAATGGTAAAAATGATCTATGAAAGAAAAAAACTGAAAAATTGGACTTCACTGAAATTAAAACCTTCTGCTCTGTGCAGGATATAGTTAAAAGGATGAAGAGTCAGGCCATGGACTGGAAGAAAATATTTGTAAAACACATATCTAATAAAGGACTTGAATCTAACATGCACACATAACTTTCAAAAATTAAGAAATCAACTCAACAAAAATATTTTTAATAAATACTTCACCATAGAAAACATGTAGATGAGAGCTAAACATATGAGAATGTATACTATCAGTAGTCTCTTAGCAAATGAGACACCACTGTGTTCAGATGGCTAAAACAAAAGACACTGACTGAAGTGCAGCAGTGCAGTTCTGACATTAGTTGGAGTTGGGTCAAAGTTCACAGGTTAGGGCACATTCCCTGCAAAGACCGTCCCACCCTACCCACAAGCTTGGGGTCCTCATGACCCCTCAGATACTGTAATTCTCTAGAATGACTCAGGATAATACTGTTCTATTATAGAGGACAAAAATCAGGACCAACCAAAAGAAATGGCCCCTAGGGTATGGGATCTGAGAGCATCTGAACTGTGAGGAATCTGTCCTCATGATGCACAGTTATGGGCACTGCTGCCCAGGGCAACTACCCACAACAGTACCTCAAGGCACAGTTTTTTGAACTTTGACTCTATGGTTGATCCAGCCTGCAGCCTCCCTCCCTCCTTCCTCTCTCCCTCCCCCCACCCTTCCAGAGGTGGAGGTTGGGCCAATTCCTTGGTTTTACTCACATGGGTGTCTTCCCAAGACAGCCACCCCTGTACTGATCTGGTTTTCGTTACCACATCTCCTGTTGGCATAAACTCACATTGGTCTAGGGGACCCAATATAAGAAACAAAGACACTTCAGTCATACAGGAACTCGTAAGCATCCCAGGATCTGGAGATATAGACCAGCTGAATTCTTTATAACCCTGACAGTACCACAAGATGGTGAGGACCCAGAGCAGCAGGAACTCACATTGATTGCTGGTGGAATGCAGAAAGGTACAGCCACTATGGAAGACAATTTGGCAATCTCTTAGAAACGTAAAGGTACATATATCTTATGACCTGGAAATTACACCCCTAGGTTTTTACCAAGAGAAATGAGAACTATGATCATACAAAAACCTATATATGCATATATATAGCAGCTTTATTCATAATTGCCAAATCATGTAAACAACCCAAATGTCTATCAACTGGTGAATGAATGAAGAAACTATGAGACATCTGTGAGACTGGCTAGGAGGTAGGAAACAAAAACTTAAACTACGGATGTTCACAGTAGTGTGACACATGCCATGTGCACCACCTCAGAAAGATGCCTATATACTATGAGGCCATGGATGTGACATTTTGACAAAGGCAGAGCCACTGGGACAGAAGACAGTAGAGTGTTCCCGGGAGCCAGTGGTGAGAGGAGAGGAAGATGAGAAAAGGCCACGAAGGGGCATTTGGAGAGTGGGTCGTCACTCTGTCTCTGGGGTGGTTAAAAGTCCTGGATCTGTGCACCCAAAGGGGAGATTCCACTGTGTGTGGATAATACCTGAATGTGAAAAGTAGTCTCTTCTCTTTAGTACTATCTAGTTTCCAGAAGATAGAAACTAAAAGCTACTCACTAGGACTTTTGTCAGCCTCTCTCCACAGCTGTTCAGAGCCTTGATGAGCAGGCTGATACCTCAAGTGGGGATCCCAGGAGTGCTCATGGCAGAGGCTCAGTTAATGCTTGGCCACTATCACGTGATGGTTTGACAGTGGTGATTCCTACTTTCTCAATGACTGCTTTAGGAAGCCATATGGGTTGTGTCTTACATGATCTTTTGGCAAGGAGGACTATAGACAGCTGTGATAGAGACCAGGATGGGGCATTGGAGAACCGGGCCCGTGATTCTCAGTGACAGGTAAGAGCAGATGAAAGCACTACCCAGTGAGTGTATAGGTCAGATGGGGCTGGACACGGTCAGCCCAGCCTTTATTGTGGAGTGCATCTATGGTTCGCGCCAAAAATCACTACTATCCACAGCACATCTGTGAAAGTAAATGGCCATGAAAGTGGAAGTGAGGTGGGGCCTCCTGGGGTCCTCCGGGTTGTGTCAGTTTCCAGGAATCGTGTGGGTCCTGGTATGGGACTGACCAAGCTGTTGTTACAGGGTCACACTGCACCCTACAAAACAGTCTCTGCCCGTGCAGCTGCCCCATCCACTATCCTCCGGCTTCCAGCAGTGGCTTTTCAAGGAGTTTTTGAGAAATACCCCGAAACCCTGGTGAGGGTGGTACAGGTAAGGCTTTTTTGTTTGACTTTTTCTAACTGCTGTGGGCCACCTCAGAGACAGGATCTGAGAATTGGCATGAGATCTGCTGGTTGAGGAGGTTGGTTCTGCATTTTTTTAGCTTTGTGAATCCAGAGAATGTGGAACTGCTTTGCTGGCAGTGCTTGCTGCTGAGGATAAGAATTCTGGGAAGAACTAGTGCTGTTTTAAAAGAATTGTTAAGATATAATAATGTATCGTATAACATATAATAAAAGTTAATATTCAAAACCTCAAAGAGGCCTTCAAATTTCCTACCCCCCAAAGAGATTTTTTGATTTTTTTATTAAATGACTTTGCAGTACTTTTATGCAACGTTCCCATGGGCTCCACATCACTCCCCATGTTAGCACCCTGACTACCATGGTGTCTTGCTGAGCCAGGGCTCTCCCCTGACAGGCTTCCTGGGGGAGGGAATGGTCTGTGGCCTGTGGTGTGTGGCTGCTCATACCTCCTCATCTTGCAGATCATCATGGTGAGGCTGCAAAGGGTGACCTTCCTGGCTCTGCACAACTACCTGGGTCTTACCACGGAGCTCTTCAATCCTGTGAGTGCAGCACCACCTACACAGCCTGCAGTGACTCATGCTGTCAGGGTGGCATCAGCTGTCCTGAGGGCACCCTTGCCTGTGTGGGCCAGCTCAACCCAGGCTGTGGATTTTCAGGACTTTGGGAGGTGACAGTGGTCTGAGTTTACATTTCTGCTTAAGCAGATGCCCACTGATGTGTTGGGTGACTCCTGGAAGTCACCCAGTTGGGTGACTTGGGGTGGGTTGAGCTACTCAGACACTGGAGCTTATCCGGCCTCACTGCTCACTAGTAGCTGTGCCATGCTCCTGAGGCTGATGTTCTAGGACAGCATGGTGTCTGAACCTGGGCCAAGGCCTTCCTTATCCCCTGCTTTGCACAGAGTGCCACCTGCCCAGACACCATGGCTGTGGAGTGAGCCATCACTTCTTCCTGTCTCTCCAGTCCCTCTTGCTGGCACTTGACTCTGTGTCCTGCCCTTGACTGACACTCACTGAGCTGATACTGAGCTGTGACCTTTTGGGAGGGGATAAAACATTGCCTAGTGTGCAAGACCCTCAAATCTTGACTCTTCCACTTCCTGGTGTGACCTGGCCAGACACCTAGCCTGTGAAGTGAAATGAGACTAGTTCCCAACTAGAAGAACTCTGTGAGAACTAACT